AAACCTTAATCCTGCACCATAAACATTTGCATGGCGTGTAATCTGGAATAAAACATTTTTAAACATTTTGGTGTTCTAACGATGATAAGAAAAGAATAAGCTGCTTCGCTGACAATACATAAAAGGTTAACAAAAAATTAACGCAATTCTAAAAAACACAGGGACTACTAAAACAGGCTGGCTGCTAAAAACAAGAGCTAGATGGGTAATTCCTTGGCTTGTACGTAAGAAGTAGGTTAGAAATCCACACCGACAATTTTTCCTACGAACCTAAAAATAGGACAATAAACTGCTCATGTGGCCATGGCAAAAACAGACAGGCGAGACATCTGGTCATGCTGCCTGGTCGTAGATCCACCTTATAGCTGCAATTCTCTCAAACCCACGAGACTCGATTCACAGAAAAAAGAGTATGTACATGAGTTATTACAGCTATCAGCTATGCGAAACTTATTAAACTTACAACGTATGCTAAACCCCTTTCTCAAACCATTCAGTTATTCACTGGATGGCATAAAATCTTGGGTATTCACCGAAGGCGAATAATTCACCTTTTCAAAAAGTATTGATGCCATTATTGAGTATTTGACGCTAGCACTTACGAATGCGCTCGAACAATTTTAAGTCGAGTTAATCATTTACCATTAATGATCGCCAAAGGACGATCGCTTTGCAGTCATCCACCATCTCATTAAAAAATTCGAAATTATGAATATGCCTCGTTTTGATTATTAAATAAGATAATAAGCTATCAGGGCGGTAAAGGCGAAAAGCAGTCACAAGGGGCGCTCGCATCCCACTACATGGCTGCATGTCTCATCCATTATGGAAACGACCAGACCATGTCTACTATTCAAAAGTCACCGACTTACTACCCGTTTCTCGGCTGGTTGGGTCGTAACAACGTGATATTACTAATTCGCGGTAAAGACAAATTGTCCTTTCAGCGGATTCGAACCCATCACCTCAGGAATTTAGTGCCGGCATCTTAGCCACTGCCTTCGCTTCTTGTCCAGCTGTGGTCTCCAAAACCTTCATAGCTTTATTGTTACAGCGATTACAGTGTAGTGGGAAACTTAGTTATGTCGGTGTTTCGTTGGAACCATAAGATGCGCGCTTAAGATAAAAAGAAAACAGAAAAACGGAGGCGTAAATAGTTATGGTTAAAACGACAACAGTGCCGAAAAGTTCTCAGATCTAACATAACAACTGCCAATCATGACTAAAAAATCAGGAAAGCATTCTAGAAACACCGAAACGTTGCGAGTTCTTGTCATTAAAGGCACATGCTGTGAAGCCCCA